CTAGGTATCTGTATCAGGCTGAGATAAGCAGGCAATGCTAGACTGAATACATGGAGGGAAAAACAGAGAGAATCCAATTTGGTATCATGCCATCTCCATGTTTTATAATAATTATTTCTTCTCTTATTGGGTCATTAAAACATATAGAGAAGAGAAGGTTCTAAGCTTTCAATCCATATGGTTGCAGTTAAAAAAAAAATGTGTACAGACTTGTTTTGCGGAAAGAAAAAACATTTTTGCACCTAAACAAACAAAAATGCTTGTCGACACAGAAAGTTACTCTATGTTCTGTAATTCTTTATGTAATTACATTTAAGTTGTATAGCAAAATAACTGTGATGACTCTAGTCCTCTCTAGAACACAGATAATATGCATACTCATGGCAGAGGTGGGCAATTTAGTGCAGTACAGTATGTGAGTTTTTGATGGCTGATGTGTATTGTGTAACATGAAAACGTCTAAGTATTGTTATAGGATATTTTTACCATAATTTAAGGTTACCCCTAATTTAAGGTTAAAAGCATGCAAATTGCTATTCTAAGCAGTGGCCTAAAAGACACAGCAAGCGCAGCACAATGCTTCATTGACATACTACAGTGCTAAGCCTCAGTGTTTGCACTGGAATGTGGGTAAATGCTATGAGCCACTCTGAAGATCCAAATTTAACGCTCTACAAATCTGTCATTCCTGCATCATTTAGAAGTATTTCCAAAGTGGAGAAACCAGAATTAGACAGGCTAAAAGTCAGAGAAAGCTGTAAATTACCTGGCACCTACTGCCTGGAGGGGACCTGCCTTTAAACAGTTCTCATCCAGGACCTTCTACCACAATTACTTTAAGGTTTATTCGTTTAGCTAATGTTTATTTGAACCGACAGGATGAGCAACAGTTTAAATAAATATTAAAGTAATAGTTAACCAATTGCAAATGACACCTATCTGCCCAACATATCCAGACGCAAACCAATGAGCCACCTTGACTTTGTTAACCATTTCGAAGGTAAACTGCTTCCCAAATACTTTGGGGACTGAATCGAGAGTGAGCAATAGTTTGAAATCTTTCAGGATCATTACTTAATTTTCCAGAGTAGCCTTGCCAATGGCAAAGTGCTAGGAAGAAGTGATGGAGATGATTTGGCGCATCCATGAATAAAACATGAATGGCTGAAAATTTTCAAGAGGAGGGAAAACATGAATAAAATACAGGCAATCAATTATTCATCGCTGCAGCCATCAGCATCGCGCATTCACATGAACAGTCATGTACAACGACTTCAGCATCCGTCCTTGTAGAGGGAGTGGGGAAGAAATGGCCTTTGGCTAGAGAGGAAATGAGAACAGAATGAGCTGCCTCCTCCACTAGAAATGTGCCATACATTTTTTATTGTCATGGAGCACCACGCAAAAACCCTATGAAGGCAAAAACCCTTCACCCAGTGCTAGCACGCTACCGAGACACAATATGAATCTGGAATGTGCATGGATTGGATGTCAATAGTGAGTCGATATCACCACCTAAGTTGAGAGCCAATGCACAAACTTGATCAGTGAGAAGAGTTAAGTTTCCCCTCGATAAGAAAGTTTGTGCACAACTCAATGCAGTTTTATCAGATTTTAGACTGCTGGATTTAAGTCAGTCATTCTCAATGAAGACGCAGAAAACTATCTGGGGTCATGTGTTGCTGAATGACTAATTCAGGGTAATTAAAATGTCCAGAGTATGTGGCCATGGCGGTGCAGAACTGCAGGAGGAAATCATTTAAAAGCCTTCACAGAAAAGCACGAGTGCATGGAAAAGCTTAAGGTCATGCAGTGCATGCTGAAAGGCTGGTCACACTTTTGTGGCCATTTCAAAGGCCTAAAGTCACTGGGGGCACTGTTAATCCTTAGACTGAAAGCTGGCTTGCACAAGAATACCCAACTATAATTACCAGTACAAAAATCATAGCAAGCATACTTAGTTGGAGTGTAATAATGCTAAAATTTCTGAACTTGATTTAATGATAGTGGTATCTTGATTCAGCAAAGATGAGTGGCTGAAGTCAAGATACAATATGATACGCTGTTCCATCCACTGTTTAGGGTTCCATGGCTATAAAATGTCCTGAATTCTACCGGATCTTTACAGTGGTGGTGATAGGAACCAGGAGTTGAGGTCTATAACACAAATATAGCCATTTTACTTATTGTCCAAATTTACCAGTGAACCCACATGAGTTTTATATAAAATATTCATGGTAAAATATAGGTAAATCTTTAAAAACATGTTTTCTTTGGGGACCTTTCTGTCTCACAATGCCACTGGGCATTAAACTGCATTAAACTCTCCAGACGTCTGGTTCCTATCACCACCACTGTGAACAAATCTGACTCTAGGCCAGAGTTTCTCTAGAATGAAGCATTTCACATCAAACCATTTTGACTGACTTTGTTTACTTTTTGAATTATTTAATTATATAGAAATTTTGAAAAAATTGGTGGAAATCACTTTTAAAAAACATAATATAACGAGACTGTATTCCAAGTATTTTTGGACCACTTCTGTTGCTCCCATAGTCACGAAATGTTCACACCATGCTAAAAGTCAAAGAATGGATTATCAAGGTTTTGATATGCAGGTGAAGTGATTTGATATGCAGTATGCTCACTCTACATGCGCTGGTCCGCTTATTAAAATAACGTTTATCCAATGTAAAGGGCAGCTGATGTTTTCAAATGGCATTAAAAAACTGAGTTATAAGGTTTAGATATGACAGTGATGAGATACAGCCACATCAAACCTGTCAAAAATAGAGATAGGCCGTCTCAGAACAGCTGCGGTACGTTAGCAGATGCACAGCTGTGCTGCACTACCATTATATTGTGTTATTACGTTGAGTGGCATGTGAACATCCCAGTAAGTCACCCATGACAGCCCATCAGCAGGAGAGTTGAGGCTGAGGTCACACTGCCAGGGGCGAGGGGTCACGCAGTGCGCAGTCACGCTGCGGTGATGGAGTGGAGTTTGGGAAATGCCTATGCAAACAGCAGGAAGGCCTGCTGTCCTGTGCTGGCACCAAGGGTATTGTTCCTGCTAATCCATCAGAGCACCCCGGGGCCGACGCACACAGTGCCTAGAGACCCCCAGAGACAACACGGCAGGGAGGCAGGGCCTGCGGCACTCTGAGACACAGAGCCAGACGGCTGTTTGTTCATCAGCTTGAGCAAGGCTAAAAACAGGAGCTGGGATGACTGACCAGTGCCAAAAGGCTCACTGCTTTGGCTTCTCATCTTCCTTAATGGGAGAGTTGGTAGTTAGTCACCAGGTGAGGGTGGACCATTTGATCAAAATATACTGATACACTACACTTAAAAAATACACTGTTTGTGAAGCAAGTTGGAATGCATAAAATGCAGCAGTACTGTCACATTTACAAAAAACACTATAAAAATGACAGATTTTTAAATGTAAATTCAGAAATAGACTATTTAACCCTTAAAATCACAGGCTTTTACATACTAAGCTTATTATTCAGTAACTACAGGGACTTCAGTGCAAACTGGCTGAGCTATTCTTGGATTATAGAAGTGTGTAATTAAACTTTGGGCCCGCTGGCAGACCCTGGCCATTTAAAGGGTTAAGGAGGACAAAAATAAAAATCAGACAGAATATTAGATTGAAATAAATAAAAGGGCCCATGAAAGCACAGTAACAAAAACAGTTTGTTTAATTCTATGGGACAGAAAAAAGTTGGAAAACGGCCATGTAAACATTACTTATGGCCTATTTTGGTACATAACCTAACAAACATGTAGTATAAGTGCCCTTTAATAAATAAGACAATGGCATAAGGTGGTAACTGCATTAACTGACATCCAGTCAGTTAATGCAGTTACTACACTGGTTGTTTACAGGCTCTTAATAAATGAGTTAATTGGTCTAATTCTGCCTTTTTAGAGATGCAATCTGTTGTTCAGTGATCTAAAAGTACTGGCAATACTCAAGATACTTAAACTAATCACAAAGACTGACATCACGGTCACATCGCCTGCTCTTACTAACAACCAAGTTAGGCGACGTTTCTGTCGCTGGTCGTTTAAACAAAGCAAACAGTGTGGAAAGTAATAAACTACTTCTAATGCTAATCACTGTTTTGACTCCAGGACTGTCCAAATAATGTGACGTCACAGCGTTATCTACCTTGGGTAATTTATATGCGCACCCTGGTTGCTGGGTTTATTCAGTGACTGTGCTCTTTCAGGCTTGTGACTCAAGCAGGGCAGTATCTGTAAGTCATATGAGGCCGGTCTTAAACAGGAACACTGGTTAAATTAGGACTGACACCATTCACGCACAAGATGAAGTTTTTGATCTCATGTCAGAACTACAGCTGATACGTCAGGCCTCCTCTGGATAAGAGTAAAATTAACACAAGCAAGACTGTACATGGCATGTATTCCTACCAAAGCTGTGAGAGGGGTGGTCTTCTGGGCCTTACAAAGGATTACACTGATTTTGAAAGAATTTTTTTATAGGCCATCTAGAACTGAGGCACTGACAATCCAAGGCATCTTCTGAGCTCTAAGGTTATAAAAGCTTGGAAGCTCATAACACCACAGCCATATGAAGGCTTGCTGTATGGCATGCTGAAATAATTGTTAATCCTGAAGAAAATGCATGTATTGTAGTAAAATTATACGATCATTACTAAAAGCACAGATCTGTTTCAGTGGGCATTACCATTGAAGTGTTTCATGTGCTTTTCAATGAACTGAATGAGGACACAGCAGAACAGTGCTCTCACTTGATGTATCACCAGATTAACTTTCTGTTGCAGCAACTTTTCCCCTTACTGCCTGCCTATGAATCAATGAGACAGCACACTGACCCATATTTACTGCACTCCTCAGAGCTGATGTGCCTTTTGCTTGCTAATAACATTACATTACAGGATGCTGGTGTTAAATCTCCCTCCTAAACCCATGCAAAACACCACAGGCTGCTGCGACACAAAACATACCTGTCATATTCGGCGTTGTCCGCGTCACAACGTGCATCCTTATGTTTCTGCCAGTCTTTGCCATGCTTGCAGGTGGTGAGCAGAACCACATCCTCCGAGTTGTGTACGTGGTGCAGAGCGTTCCTCGTGTCCGACCCGATGCCAGTCAGATATCGCTTGCCCTTAAACACCAGCATGTATTTCCTAAAGGGGGGAATGGAGTTGTACTTTAAGAACCCCCTCTCCCCTCCGGTTCTTGGGTGGTCTTTAGAAAACAGAGGAATGGACACATCAAAGTTAGGCCTAAAGTTCTCCACGCTGATGCTGGCCTTGGCCAGCATGGCCTGACCAATGTCAAAACCCAAGTCCTCCGTGTAGTCTGGCCAGGTCCCCGAGTAGAGGTTGAATATGAGGTGATTCCGGCCGCCGTTCCAAAGACTCAAGCTTTGGACCTTCGCCTTCAAATTGTGCACATACTGAGGCGACAGCTGGTCCCGGTCAAGGGTGTCCAGGCTCAACACGAACAAGCACGCCTGCCCCGGGTCAGACGTGTAGAACCTGGAGCCCTCGATTGAAGCCAAGATGCTCTGGTAAGTCTCTGAGATTTTGTCCCCCTTCTGCTGGGGATACACGTAAACTTTGAAACCGTTCTTTGCGCACAAAGAAAAGTCAAAACATGAGTCCATCCGGCAGCGCCTCCCCTGATTAAGGCCCGTGCTGGCATCCCTCTTCTGCCTTGGTGACATGTGAGCGCTGTAACCCTCACTTTCCGTCTGATCCCATGGAACGAAAGGCAGCAAGCGCTCCAAAAAGTGGGGCCAGCGGGGGCCGGGTCGGTGCCCATCACGCTGGATCTGGCTCCTCCTGGAAGCCGGCACTGGCAGCCCACCAAAGAAGAGCAGCAAAACGAGACAGGCACCGGCGGAGACCAGAATCAGGTAGCGCTTTTTGGCCTGCATGTGTCCTCCGGTCCGGCTCCGCGGGCTTGGCCGAGAAAAACAACTGGCCACCAAGTTTGGGGCTCACCGACCCGAGCCGGGCAGCACAGCCATCTTCCTCCAGCCTTCAAGGGATTTTTCACGTTGTCCTCCTTCTTCTTCTTCCAAGTCCGTTCCCAAATCCAGGGCATGTGGGCGACTTTTAGGGACCATCTAACTCACCTCTCCCCACTTGAACATGTAGCTTCAGGCTTTAAAAAAGGACCAAGCAAGAGCAAGAAGAGCCACTCCAGTGGACTTCGACCTCAGTATGTCAGTCCTTCTTGTGAAGACTTCCTAAGACGTGTCTGTGCTCTAACCTCGCTAACAGAGTCTCTCAGCAGACAGTTTTGGAAGAAACTAAGCGTTAAGTTACCTCAGAGCAGCTTCGTCGTGGTCTTAACGTTTCTCAACGGACTCATTCGTTCTTCTCGCGGGCCGGGCGATGGAAACTAACACCGTCGAAAACGCCGAGGCAACGTTTAATCCTCTACTATCTTTGTCATTTACCTCCGAGCAACGACATATCAACGTCCACGTTTATATCGTCGCCGTTTTCACTGGCGAGTGTACGAAGCGTACAAATCCCTGCATTTCTACACACGCCTGGAAACAAGACTCAGTAACGTTACGGGTTAGTTACTGAAGCACACACGGCTAACGTTACTCACTCGCCTCTACAAACCGCGCGGCTTTCCGCGTCTCGAAGTAAACTTACAGACCTTAACTCGTCCTTACAGTCTGAGACATGTTCCGGAGCCGAACAGAAACGTTAAAACTCCGCCAAAAGCCCGTCCCTGAACTCCGCACCGTGTGTAAATGTGAATGTGCTCCAGTAGCTCCGTTTATCTCGGCGTTGCATTCCAATCCCCGCACGACGGCCGCTGACGTCACGCCCTTCCACAAACGCACCGAGGCCTCTGATTGGTCGTCGTCATGTCCGCGGAGGTGGGCGGGACTTGCGCGCCAGCCAACCAGAGCCGGAGCTGACGTTTAACACTTTCACTCCGTGACCAACTCATGAGCTGAACTCGTGGTTATTGTCAGGAACGTAAAGGGGAACTCCACCGAATTTTTCAAATGTCTACACAACTAAATAGTTTAATGCCTCTAGAAGCTCGCATTAAATGGTTACAAATACGATCCTTGACGCTTAAAACGTTGTTTTACAACAGCTCTCAGGAAAGAGGCAAAACTCTTTTTTTTTCCAGATTTATCACTTTTTTACTATGAATAACATTACATGTAAAACCTCAGAAGACGTGTAAGGTCACTGTTTGTCTTGGATAGTAAATAAAATATCTTTTTTTAATCTCATTATCATCATCTCGTAATTAGACTGACTAAGTATATTCTATGTAACAAATTATAACTTCTTTTACTTTTATAATAATCATTTATTCATCATCACACACAATATTTCAACCGCTCTGCTGTCGTCACTTAGCATCGGGGCGCATCCACTTTCAGACTCTGAGCTATGTTGTGGTTTCTGGCAAAATGCTTCCGTCTTCAAGATTACTGTAAGGAAGGAGCAACTCAGCGCTGCTTTGTACCACTAAATGGAATGCTAGCTAATTTTGTTGGTGCCTCCTGACCTGTTAGTTCTTCAATCAGCATTTTATTCCCCTAAAAATTCCCTGCAGCAATTACCAACAACATTTAGCATATCTAGCATGATGTAAACGCCATCACTGTAATGCAGGGGTGTCAAACTCGGCCACTAAAAGGGCCATATTAAAAAATCTCAGCAAGCTGTGCTTTTATTTCATTTTAACTTAATATTTTGCCATGACCAGAATGGGCCATTGTTTATTCAAATAATGCCAAAATTTCAACAGCAAAATAGGCATTGAACACTTATTCAAAATTAATTCAGAATAAAAATAAGTTGTTCTAGATAGTTTTTTTAAAAACCTACTTGTTTGAACTAGACACCAAGCATATTTTCTTTCCGTGTAACCGGCCCATATTGTTGTTGGGGGAAGGGGATCAGAACACACACTATGTTGCAATGCATGCTGGGGACTGAAGTGCATCTCAGGGTGCAACAGGCTAATAAGAATAAAAAAAGAAATTAATTTTGCAGGCCGAATAGGACTGTGTCACTGTGACTTGGCCTGCTGGCCTTGTGTTTGCCACATGGGCTGTAATGTTAGCAACACTGCTAACGGCAATGTGTCACTGACCGAACATAGCAGTTCTCATTCTGATGCAGCTAGCAGTGCTGATCTTTTATGGTTTTTTTTTTACCTTTTGTAGTATCAAACATTAAAATAATCCACAACAATTATAACCTCCAATTTTCAGTTTTATTCAGTTTTATAACTTCAAACATCTCTTACTGGTTAATACTGGTTGTCATACCTGTTTTTCTTTTTAGGAGTCCATAAGAGGCACTCGCTACAGTGGACAGGGTTGCCAGGTCCAGCAAAAATCTTCAGCCCAATTTGCTTAAAAGCTGCCCATCAGAAGTTGAAACTTTATCATTTTCACCATTGACTGCATTTTCAAACTAGTCTAATTTGACTGAAAAAAATGGAAATTTGGAAAATCGTAATCCAAACGGGGCATTTGTCTTTTTCTTCCTTTTTTTTCTTGATTGACCAGGGGGAAGTATAATTCAGCTTTTAATATCCCTAAAAAGCATTAACTATGTGTCAATACATTAGTTATACCCAATTTTATTCTCCAATTAAGTCCATTTCCACTTGCTAGCAAGGTTTCCCCATTTCACACAGTGCTACCAGGCTGGGAGGGTGAAGACTAGCATGAACTTCCTCCAAGACATATGAAGTGCCACTGCATCTTTTTGAACTGCTGCTTATACACCGTCATTGCAATGCTCAACACGCTTGGAGGAGAACACTAACTGCCAATTCTGTTACATCTGCTAATAGACCCCCACATTGGCTAGCATTGCTCTGAATGATGAGCGGAGAGGGTGGACCATGCTACCCACCCAGAGAGAGTGAGGACAATTATGATCTCTTGGACTCTTAGCTACGTATGGCTGTGGCATTGCAGTGGACAAAAACAAGAGCTTTTCTGCACTTGTTGACTGCATGAAGTAAAACTACATACTACTGGTTTTATGAAATGCTTTAGTTGACCATAAATTGTGGTTAAATTCTATATATCTCTAGAGCCAAATCACAACGACCGCATCCTTTGCACAAATCAAAGAAAATAAAAGAAATTGCACCACGTTTCCCTGAATTGCACCCAAAAAGTGATATTACCATAAAGTGTAATCCATTGTATATAGACATATATAAAATGATGGATATGATGGTCAAGTCAACGCCATCTTTGCTCTCAATGTATTACTCTTAGAAAAACACCACAGAAATAAGTGGACACTGGCCTAATGAAACATATCGGCAGGTGTCCACAGACCTGTCCTCTGGATTGTTTTCGCAGCTGCTGAGATGTGAGAGAGCAGAAGAGATTTTGTGGGGCAGGATTTGAGACGAAGGGAGAGCGAGGAGGAATTTGAAGCCGCGTTCCTCGGAAGCTGCGGAGCCGTGTGTGTATGCGGCTGCTACTACGGGCCAGTGATCAAAGCTCGGCCCTTACCTCCTCTTCTTTCTACCAAGCATTCCTTCCACTCTTTCTCCATGTCTTTCATCCGCCGGCAGTGTGCTAGCACTGAATGCTCACGAGCTTGCTTTTCAAGAAATAACCTTAATGCATTTGAATCTTCCCATGAAGGTCGGTTAAAAGAATAGCTCAATGGAAAGTGGAAATAACTGGTTTGCAGTCTGAAGTGTGCTTCTTTAGTTACGAGGCCACTGTAGCTAACAAGGAATGAAAGCTGCATGGGAAAATCACACTAGTCTTAAACTGTGCTCAGTTGTTGACTCTCAAATAGACTTGCTAATGTGGTTTCCTACACGGTATGACTTTTATTCAGACATAAAAATGGCTAATGCTACAGCTATACAGCTGTACTTTTGTCCAGAAGACCATGTTTCAAAAGCATGTATAGGTTCGGTACTGAAAAAGAAACCAATTTAAGTTGAAACCAATTATAGTTCAGGTTGGTTCACTGCCTGTGGAACACTGTACAACATTAAAGGGGAACTCTATTGACTTTTCAAAATGTCTACATAATTCACATTAACACATTGTATACACATTAAGTAGTGCATCTTTGCCTACTGCCGCTAACACAGTGTCATTGGAGAGCTCAACAAGCTCGGAGGAGAATGCTAACTGCTAATTTGGTTATGTCAGCTAATGGACACGCATGTGGGCTAGCGTAGAGCTGAGCAATGATGGGGAGGAGGACCATCCTACCTACCCACGAGGACAACAGATGCTTTTAACACTACAACATCTTCCTTTTTTAGAGATGAGCAAGCTTGACAAGGGCTACAAGCTTGTCTTTGAGAATTACCTGCATGATGGTAGTTTAGGATCTCATGACCAGTTAGCATCATGAGATTAAAGCTAGCGGTCTTATGTTTGCTAGCATATAGTCAATGTTGTGTAGGTTGGGCGTAAAGTTAAAGTAGTCAGTTTTACCTCACTAGATAGCAAGTGGATGGTGGCCCACTGTTAGCCCACTGACGGCAAAGCTGGTGGCCCGGTGGCGGCCCACTGGCATTTTGCTCAGCATTTTCTGGGCAACCCACTGGTGCTAAGTAGTTTTAGAGTTTTAGACAAAATGCCACTTCTCATCGCTCATTTTGCACTCACTGTCCAATTTTCTTATTTGTCTTTCATTTCTTTCTTTTGCTATCCTTTGAACATAGTTTAGTAAATCATTTTAGGAGCAATATCATTTTATATTAGGCCTAATTATTTTTTTTTCTCTTAGTAGTTTGTAATATTAATCGTAGGTTACTTTCCAAAATAAAAGTCTATGTGCATTGAAAATCATTTTGAGGAGATTGAAAACTAGTTCACTTGCACACAGGACAATAATCTGGGTGGTCCGAGGTTGGACCAGCAGTGGTATAGCCTACGGTCAGCGGGGTGCTGACCTTTTCAAGCCAGCAGGCCGATACATGCTTACTCTCTGGGTCATGGTCTTTTGGTCATATTATGTGAACTTTATATTTTTACATTCTAAAGTTGTGTTCTACAGTGTCCAATGTTGTAAATGTTCAGGTTAGCATTTCCATGTAAGCCAACAGATAATATTTGATAATGTTTAATTACTTAAACAGTAATATCACTAATGCTAACGCTAACTGGGAAAGAGTTAACATTACCAGTTAACACAATTGCTGCACACAGGACTCTGCAGTCCACACAGTTTACCAGCTCATCTAAAGTTAGCTAGTAAAACAACCAGTTTTTATGCTTTTATAAGTAAAGTTACATCCTCTCTCCCGTTCACAGACAGTTTACCTTTTTTAAATGCATGCCGCTTGTCCATCCAGTTAGGCCTACTTTTAATGTAGACCTTCCCTGCTAGAACAACCAGCATAGACCAGCATAATCATAAATATTACGCTCTTTTAGATTCCCGGCCATGGACGGCTGCGGCATGGCGGGAGATCGAACTTGAAAATGCTTGCTGCCCTTTTGTGTGGCTCAAAATTACTTGGAAAAAAGTCTGGTTACATTGACTTACATTAAAAGTAAAGTATGTTTTTTTGTTCTCCAGTAAAGCTATTTAGGTTTTGTTCTGACAGCAGCGATACACATCAAGTAAAATTCCATGCTACTGTAAATCTACTGTCATATCGTGTTTTGTATTTCTGATATTTCTCGTGACAGATGTGGATTTGTTTCGAGAAAACTTAACAAAGAACAAATACTGTTTCTTGTGATAAACTACAGTACAAAAGAGCAATGTTACATTATAAACCGAGAACTTGGAAGAGTTATCACAATTAGCCAGAGAACAGCAACGGCACCTATGTGCAAGGACTGTTAGCGTC